TATGTATGCATACCACCTCTTCATATATATATGTATACATATATATGTATATATACACACACACACACGAAGGAATATTACTTGGTGATAAGAAAGAATGAAATCTTGCCATTTGCAACAACATGGATGGAACTAGAGTGTATTATGCTAAGGGAAATAAGTCAGAGAAAGATACCAAATGATTTCACTCATGTGGAATTTAAGAAACAAAAGAGATGAACATAGGGGAAGGGAAGGAAAAATAAGATACAAACAGAGAGGGAGGCAAACCTTAAGAGATTCTTGAATACAGAGAACAAACTAAGGGTTGCTGGAGGGGTGTTGGATGGGGGGATGTTGGCTAAATGGATGATAGGCATTAAGGAAGGCACTTGTTGGGATGAGCACTGGGTGCTATATGTAAGGGATGAATCACTAAATTCTGCTCCTGAAACCATTATTACACTATATGTTAACTAACTTGGATTTAAATAAAATGAAAAACAAACAAAATTAAAATAAAATACTAACAATGATTCTAAGGAAAAAAAAAAGAGGAAAAGTCTCAAATCAATAATATAAGTTCTCAACCTCATGAACCCAGAAAAAAAGCAAAATAAGTCCAAAGCAAGCATAGGGAGTGGATAACAAAGATAAGAATAGAGAAATCAATGAGATTAAAAACAAAAGAAGAGAAAACTAATGGAACAAAAAGTTAAAATTGACAAATGTCCAGCAAGATTAATAAACAAAAAACAGAAGATGCAAATTACCAAGAGCAGAAATGAAACAAAAAATATTTTTTTAAGTTTTTACATTTTACTTATTGTATTTATTTATTTTGAGAGATATAGACAGAGGGAGAGAGTCAGCAGGGGAGAGGCAGAGAGAGGGAAAGAGAGAATCCCAAGTAGACTCCATGCTGTCAGCACAGAGCCAGATGTGGGGCTCGATCTCACGAATTGTGAGATCATGACCTGAGCCAAAATCAAGAGTTGGTATGCTTAACTGACTGAGCCACCCAGGTGCCCTGAAACAAGAAATATTACTAAAGGTCCTGCAAAAATTAAAAGGATAATAAAGGACTAATAACAAGTCTACATACATACATTTGACAATTTAGGTGAAATAGACCAATTCCTTGAAAAATACAAACTACCACAACTCACCCAATATGAAATAGACAAGGCCCAATATGAAGGTCCCTATAACTATTCAGGAATTTTAATTCATAATTAATAACCTCCTAAAATAAATCTCCAGATCCAGAAGTTTTCACTAGAGAATACTAACAAGTGTTTAAAGAATTAATGCCAATTCTACAAATCTTTTCAAAAATAGAAGAGAAGGGAACACTTGCAATTTATTTTGTGAAGCCAATATACCTGATACTAAAATCAGACAAAGATTGTGCAAAAAAGAAAAAGAAAACTATGGACCTATTTGCACTATGAATATAGACATAAAAGTCTTAATAGAATGTTGGAAGGAGAATTTGGCATTCCATAAAAACAGTTATGCACCACAACCAAATGGGGCTTATTCTAGTTATTCAAGACTGGTTTAACATTTGAAAATCATATAATGTAATCCACCATATTAACAAGCTAATGAAGAAAAATCGCATGATCATATCAGTAGATGCAAATAAAAAAAAAACTCAACATAAAATTTTTTTGTTTTTAAATTTTAGAGTGTGCAAGCAGGGGAGAGGGGCAGAGGGAGAGAGAGAATCCCAAGCAGGATCAGCATGGAGCCTGATGTGGGGCTTGATCCCACAATCCTGGGACCACGACCTGAACCCAAATCAAGACTCAGACGCTTAACAGACTGAGCCACACAGATGCCCCCCAAATCAACATTTTTTTAAATTAACAAAAGCCCTCTCAGAAAAAACAGTACTAGTGGGGAATTCCTCAGCTTGATAAAATGAATCTACAAAATCCTAAAGCCAACATCAAAGTTAATAGTGAAAGACTGTATGCTTTCCCCCTAAACGTGGGAAAAAGGCAAGGATATGAGCTCTCACCACTCTTATTTAGCATAGTGTTGTAAATTCTAGCTAGTGCAAAAAGCAAGAAAAGGAAATAAAAGGCATACATATTGGAAATGAAGAAATGATATATCTCTATATGTAGATGACATAATTGTCTATATGAAAAATCCTGAAATCTGCAAAAAAAAGACATGCTTAGATAAATGGGCTGTGGCACAGAGAGAACTAAAATTCCTAGGGGATGTATTAGAGTGTCTGGGTCCTTTGGGTCCTTCGGGTTCTGCCTGGTTGCCTGACCTCCAAATCCAATAGCAGTTCCAGGGGTTTCTTTAACTGTGAAGTGACTACCTGGAGTGATCCCTCCTCCATGGAACCCACACCTTCATGGGCTCTTGAATCCTTCCTTGGGATTTAAGCAGACATTGGTCCAAATCAAACCGGTAGCACCCATAGCCCCAAATGATGCTGCCCTCTCAGTAACGGTGCATTTCTAACAGGAGATGAATGGTGGTTTTGAGGCAAGGGAAGGTATTTAATGTGTGCTCTCTGCCTGATTGCTTTTGAACCCTGGGGGTCTGGGCTCTTGCTATTTGTCTGGCTGCCCTGATGTCTTAAGCTTCAGGAGTGACGAGTACAATGTACTGGATTGGAAAGGTCAGCCTTGCCAGAAAGAGATTCTGTCCTTGTTAACATCTTGGCTTGATTAATCTCTGCTGTTTCTGTTTTTCCCTGCATTTTTTTGTTCACTGAATCTTTGGTTCATCAATTATTTTATTTACTGAAATTTGCAGGGTGGAGACAGAAGAAGAAAAGATTTTTAAACCTCGAATTCTCTCTGTTTGGGGTTCAGCACATGATTTTTTGATTCAGATTGGAAGTATTTGGATAAGGCCAAATTTTAATTTTCTCTTTAGTAGATTATCCTTTTTAATTTATCATTGCTAAAATTCACTGTAAGTTTGTGTGTATAAGGATTGCTTTGTATTGCAGAATTCTTCAGGCGTGAGTATGCTTATTTAGTCAATTGTCTTCAGTATCCATAATACACATACAGATATTAAGTCTTTCTTTTTAAGTTTATTTATTTTAAGAAAGACAGAGACAGCACGAGTAGGGGAGGGACAGAGAGAGAGAATCCCGATGCAGGGCTCAAACTCATAAAGCCATGAGATCATGACCTGAGTGGAAACCAAGGGTCAGACACTTAACTGACTGAGCCACCCAGGCGCTCCAGTATTCATTTTTGATGGTAAAGCTTCCTAGGATGAAGAGTGGCATAGCTGTTCATTGTGGGAAGTTCTGGTTGGTGGAAAATAAACTTCATTTCTGTAACAATAAAACACCAAAGAAAATAACCACCTGTCATACTTATTTATAAACTACAATCCCTTATAGGATCTTAAACAATAATGAAAAGAAAAACAGAAATGAGAACTTGCCCCTCCAGAGAGTTAACTTTTTTCACTCTACATTCCCTAGCCGGAAGCCTCAATTTTTTAATCGTGAGTTTTTAAGAAGAGCATCATTTTGCATTTCCTGGACAATATATCATGCAGTGACTCACAGAACTGGGGTGTACAGGGCAGGCACATCAGGTTGCTCTACTGAGAACAAGACGGCATGATGTCACAGAGTCATCTCCGTGTAATGCGTCATCCACACAATATTACCAAGCAGTTCTTGGCTTGAGTCTGAATCTCAGAAGATGCTGCAAAATGCTGGAGGGAAAAAAATCTGTCTAATGGGATTGTCTACTTCACGCATAAAATAAAAATCATTTTGATCCTTTGGAGGTACCTTTATTCCCAAAGGATCCCAATGTACTCGGCTCCTGCCCCAGGAGTATTAGTCATACATCTCTGAAACATCATCTCCTCTGTGCTAGAAAAGACAGGCCCCCTCTGAGGCAGCCTTCTCTGCAACAGGTTTTATTTTGAATGGGATATTAAATAGTATTTCTAAATAAATGATGGGTAATTATACGGTGGCAAAATACAGTTTCCCCTGTTGGAATTTGAACAAGACCTTTTGGTTAATAATCCTCCTTTTCTTAGAGGACTGTATGGTTTAAGAGGAAAGTCCCTTCTTTATTGCAGAGAACATAGTGTGAGTTCACAGGGACTTGGATGGGGTGAAAAGGTCAGAGGAAACAGGTGAGAACAGTTGAAGGAAAAGTAGACAGTAGTCAGTAACTCGGAGAGGAAATCAACCAGTAGGTTTAAATGGATGAGAAAGCTATTAGGTCATTGCCTATAGGAAAATAATGTGTCACGTGTTTCAGAAATGTTTGTTAGAATTGAATTGGCCATCAAATGGCAAAGTACAATTTCCTTTTGAAGCTCTTAAATGTCCAGCTTCTTGAATATGGAGAGTCTTTAAAAGACCATCTGCTACATCTTTTGTATTCAGGTTAAATTTAAAAGCATCTCAGCAAGATGAGTATCTACCCTACCTAAAAAACAGTTCCTGGGAAAGAATACCAGAGAACAAAAGTTAACATATTATCTAACCTAAATTCCTCAGGTTTCAACTAAAACCAGGCTCTCCTTGTTCTTTGTTAAATGAAAAGTAGCTTCTCGCTGTGTGAAAGCCATTCCTACATTTGAAAGATATTATTGTGTGGCTCTTTGCTAAACTCTAATTCCATTTCCTTAAAGGTTTTTCTAAGTTTGTTTCTTAATTCTGACTGTGAAAATTAATAAGAGGTTCTGATACTGAATGGGAAAGCACTTGAAACCTGCCAGAACTTCACTTATTTAAAGCACTATTATCATTATTATTATTATAACTATTATTATTATTACTATTATTGTTATTATTTTGTATTCATTCTAAAGAATCCACAGAGCCCTTCATAGAGAATATGACTGAGGGCTGAAGAACTTGACCGCATATGAAGGAGCCAGTGTAATCTTTGAATTTTCTTGTCTGTGTAGCATAAGAATCAGAGACATGTTGTAAACTAACTATAGGAAGTGTAGCACAAAACCAACTTTGATTGAATTGGGCTTTCAATTTTTGATAGGTGGCACCTGCAAAGTGCATCAGACACAGCATCATTGGAGACTCTTGCCAACACCAGTTCTCCTGGTCCAGTCACCAGTTGTGACGTTTCAACATGGCTGCTCCTGTTTTCCTCCCAGCGCTGGTACCAAATGGCTGTCCCACAGGTACTCTTTCCGGCAGTGGTTAGGATCAACTCCTCATGGAACAAGCGCCATCACTCCATGGGTTCAGGTTTGCCAGGGTAATGTTCCAGAGGCTGTTGATTTCCTCCTTTGTAATTTGTCTGTGATCCACATAAGTTGCACTAGGTGGCTGGTAGTGTCTGGCTTTGGCTTCTTTCTCTTGTGTGTAAATAACTGTGTTAAAGGTGACACCACATGTTAATTTGGCCAATTTTAAAACTAATTAAAAGAGTACAGTTATTTGTCCAAATAACATATAGTCATAAATTAAAAAGCCCGGTGCCTAAATATGATAAAATATAATTTTTACTAATTTATACTCACTTCAGTTTCTACTAGGGCTAATCCTGATTATAAGAGAATATTTAAAAACCATTCAACAAATTGCTTGAAGCATCCTTTGCTACCATGTACTATGCTAGGCATTGGGGTTGCAGTAATGAATAAGATAAAGTTGAAATTTGTCCCCAGAGAGATGATAGTATGCAGGAATGTGGTCTTTTTTAGGGATTGGAAACCTTCTCTGGAATTGCAGCTCTTTAAGGATGTGTATGGTGCCTGGTGTCTGACTGTAGTTCCCAAGAGTTTCAGAGCAGAAAGTGTGCTAAAACCCTTGTAAGTAGGAGAGGAGTCAAAAATTAAAAATGGACCAGGTGAAGGCAGGCTTCCAATGGTCTGCTTCTAGTTCTCAGAAGATAAGTGTTGTGTGATCCTTTGTTTCCCTGTAATGAAGCAAAGAAGAGAAAGGAAAAATGTGGGGTCATATCCACAGCATAAAGTCTCATGATTTCTTTTTTTTCCAGAGGGCACTTGCCCTAGTAGCTTCTAAGTCACTTCAGCTTTCCCTCATCTTTCATTGGATGACCGGCTTAGTTTCATATAGTGATCTTCTTACCTACTTTTTTCTGATTCCATGTAATTTTTATAGTGTATCCTCTGAGGCCACTTACTTATATTTTAAAATAAGTATCTATTATAAAATATGTTCATTAAAAATTTTACATGTTCATGAGATTTGGAAAACACAGGTATATAGAAAAAAGGAAAGAAATGTATACTCCCACTACCTAAACATACCCACCATATGTGTTGTGGTGAACTGTCTGCCAGACTATATTTTAAAATGTGAAATCATAACATATATTATGCATTCTTTGGTTCCCTTTGTCATTTGACTTAGCATTTCATCTTAAGCCTTTTCCATAGTATAACATTCTTTTCAGAATCCTTGTTTTAATTATGTCAGTATTCCATTGAGTGAAGTCACCTTATTTTAACTATGTTCTCTCATATATAGACTTCCAGTTTTTCATTACAAACAGTGCTAAAGTGAATATTGCTGTGTACATTATTTTAATCTAAAGCTAAGAAGATATCAGTTTATATAAAAACTAATTCATCAAGGGGCACCTGGGTGGCTCAGTTGATTAAGTGTCCGACTTCAGCTCAGGTCATGATCTCGTGGTTTGTGAGTTTGAGCCCCAGGTTGGACTCTGTGCAGACACCTCAGAGCCTGGAGCCTGCTTCAGATTCTGTGTCTCCCCTCTCTCTGCCCCTCCCATGCTCTTGCTCTGCCTCTCTCTGTCTCTCAATAATAAATAAACATTAAAAAAATTTTTTAAAAACCCTAATTCATCAAATGGTTTTGAATAAGACATAAGGCTTTAAAATAGAACTATAAACTTTCCAAATACCTACTGTAAGCTTCTCTCTGGTCCCGCTCTCTTTTCTATGAGGGGGTAAGTCTTGCTGCTCCTATAGGTTTCTCCTTTCTCCCATCAACTATGTCATTTCCCCAATCCAGTCTTGCCTGAATTCAGCCCTTGACAGTCAGGTTTTTGAATGACCAGACCATCTTTCTGGAATGGTTCAATCAGACTGTGTGTTGCTGCCTCTAAGTGAAGCATAAACTTTGGCAACTGTCTGATAAATTTGCCTCAAGCTTCCTAGAAAAAATTTAGGTCTGAAATATCTGGTTGGTGTCAGAGACGTCGTAATTTAGTGATAATTGATGTTTTGTCAGGGGAGGGGGCCAGGACCTCTCTTTGGCACAGTGTGGAGGAATGGAGTGAGATGACTGGCAGGAATAGTGGGCATGGAAGCGCCAAGAGATGTAGCTTGGAAGTGGGGGGACATCCTGGGAGAAGGTCGATGAAGGAAGGCTCGGTAATTAGTCATCTGAAGTCAGCTTGCAGCATGGCCATGAATGACAAATTTAGACATGCTCACATGCTTGGTTGAATGTCTTGTTGAGGATCTGAATTGGAAAAAGAATCTCATGCAGCATATTATCTGTTTTGGTTGATATTTCCTAAGATGCTCAATTGGAACCTTAAAGATTTGGGGGGCCAATCTCATGCTTTAGAGCTATACAATGGCATATAATTAATATGATACGTTGAAATGGAAAGTAAGATACATATGATTTAGATAATTTTGTCATTTGATTATAAGTTTTGAGCTTGACGGTTTAGGCAACAACCAAGACCAATGAGTAAGAGGATGTGAAACATCACTGCCATCTCATCTACCCGTGACTATCCAGGACTTCTTCCTATGTACCATAGCACCACACACAGGAGCTGCTTCAGGTTCAGGAGGCAAGAACAGGGCGTGTGTGTGTGTGTGTGTGTGTGTGTGTGTGTGTGTGTGTGGGTGGTGCATGTTACTCTGCTCTGAGTACCTAGAGGCCAGACCCTCCTGGGCAGAATCTTAGAATGGGTCATTACTACTGTTCTATGTGCCCACATGCTGATTGATGGGTGTGACTCTGTAGACCTGTGTACCCAACTATCATTGGAGCTTCCCTGGAGGTATCTGGATTTGGTCAAGGATGTTGCTTGGCCCCATGTAAATTGTCACTTTTACCAGTCAGGGCCTCCTATGTCTTCTCTTACCCATCTGCACGATCTCCTTGCTTAGTAAAAGGCGAAAGATTTATGCGATTTGAAGAGAAACCAGAGCATACGATCTCCTTGCTTAGAAAGAAGTGGGCAGTAGTTGGACACCAAAGAGACTGATTTTCAAGTACCAAACAATTTCAACTCCTTACTTTCTTGAGGTTATGCTAGGGCCCTGGAAAACATGTGAAATTGTATCTTACCTGCCATGTTGGGTATACAGCTTTTCCTCCCACAGCTTCTGCTTCAAGCAGGGAATCACACTACTGACCTGCTCTGTGACTGTGTGGGAGGAAACTCTATTGCTTTCTACATACACAGCTCTTATGTTACACAGAGACCAAGAAATAAAAGGGGGTTGAAGTGAGGTGCAGGCTCAGTTATACACATGTGTATAATTGCAGTTTTCTTTGCAGTACTTCTTCCCATTAGGATTTAATTGCTCAGAGATAATTGAGTCATATACAGGTTATGAGGGCCTTATTAAGGGAGACTGGATCACCCCACCAACAGCTGTTGTCATTCCTGAGGCATCTTCTTTATCCTGACTCTGTACAGTGGGGAATAAATGAACGATGTTATGTTTTGGTGCTGATAGAATATAAAGAATCTGGGATATTATTCATGGTGCCTAATAAATTGTCTTAGAGAAGTGCCAAAAGCTGTAATGTCCACTCAGTTCAATTTTAGTGAGGAATTAAGGCACTCTACTAGGGTACATTCTAGTTTAGCTGCTTTCATGAGCCAAACTGACCAGAATTGACTCAATTCTCCTCTTTACTTAGCATATGAAATCTCAGCCATGTAGCTACCCTGAACCAGATATCACTTCTCACCAAGCCATTCCCAAATGTTACCCCAAAATGGATTCTGTGTAACTCTGAGGAAGAATTACTGATGATTGGAATTATACCATGGGCCGATGAAGGGCCAATGTAAGATGGGGAGAACTCATTTGAGAAATGCAGCTGAGATGGGTGGATGACTGTGATGTCACACACCTTGGAGAGGAATAGCTGCTGCTGGCTTTTTGTTTGGGTTTGTGTTTTTATAAGGGAGGAGGAGTGGTGTCAGAAGCAGCAGTAGGAAGTAGGAAAGGAAGAATGTCCACCTGTCTTCATGGTGTGTGGGAAGCAAGTGAATGAGCAGCCTCCACTGAGAGGCCTTCAAGTAAGATGATATCATTACCCATTCAGTAAATAGGTGTTGAGCATATCCAAGTGCTGGGGAAGCAATGTGTCTGTGCACTCGTGATCTGGGGAGGTAAATGTGGTATAGTACTGAAATTGATGCTCTTCTGATCCAGCTTTCATTCAAGTCAAGGAGGATCAGTCAGGCAGAAGCAGATCTCCATGGAGTCTGAAGGTGTCCAGTAATTCATTTACAATGGACAGGAATCTAGACCAGGAGGGAAAGTGTTAGAGAAAGGGAGCAGTGTGGGTCTAGGTGAGGGAACCCAGCAGGTCCCTCTCTTGTCACTGTTACTTACACAGCTGCTTCCAGCTTCTTTTTTCCACACACTGGCTTGCTCTGCTCCTCAGAAATTGGCTGAAAATGGCTGTCCTCAAGGCCCTTGGACGTTGTCTGCTCAAGGGACCAGCCCAGATTAAAACTGGACACTCTTAGCCCCAATTCCAAATATCCAGCTCTGGCACAACACAGGTCACCTGTAGCCAGGAGGGTAGGGCACAGAGTACAAATATGCCTGAATGCCTAGCTTGGCAGAGGATGTTTTCTGGGGAAGGGAGACTGTTGAGAACTTGGTGAAGAGCCTAAAGGGTATCCTCTCTGGACCACTTTTCAAGGTTGGGGAGGATGTTGGGTGTGAGTCCTCTCGTGTAGAGTTTGTGCAAGGGTGGCTGCCACAGTTGGGTTCACTGGCACATTGTCAAACAACTCCAAAGGCAGAAAAATGCCAAAATATTCTCCAGTCTAATTAGATTAACCTTAATAAAGAGACAGCTTAATCCACCGCTCTAGTATTATAAGGAATCTACATTGGGTTTCCATTTCCTGAGCAGTCGTTGTTAATTGGCAGCATGGTTTTGTTT